ATACAAACAACCCAAATACCGATTTCCCTAGGTTAAATCTGCCATAGCATTGTAATAATGGAAGCATTCTAGGCATATTCTGAACAATAACTATTCTAATTAATGAATGGTAAGATTTGTTTCTCTTAGAAGGACATCAACAGTCTGGACAGTAAGACCAATCCTAACAAAAGTAAGAAACTGGGAGAAGTAATCCCAGCTCGTTTTCACAACAGATAAAAATATAGGTGAATTCAAGGCACAGGTCTTTTGAAAATTAACACACATTATTTTCTTTGGAACTACTCATACAAAGTAAGCCATAATTACATTATTAACAAGCTGTACACGGGGGCTTTATGTGCATCACTTATAACAGCTCTATCAGAAAATGATCACAAAGTTATTTACACACAGATGTGCACACATAAACATATGAGCACAGACTGGATCCCTATAGTACAAAAAAAGAAATGTTCCTGTAAATAATCTATAGTTCTTAGAGAGTAACATTATCAGGGCTGTATACTTAAAGTAAGATGAACTTGTATGTACCATTAGTTAGAGATGACAGCTGACACAAAGCCAGCATGCAGAGAACACACCACTCACACATCTGCTGGGAGGCTGCTGACTGTTCTGTGGCAATGCTCACAGCACTGACACAATCATGATGAACTGACAGTGTGATCCATTTTTATCAATGCCATCTGAAATAATTTCACATTGAGGACACTTGTGTGCTAAACATATTTTAAAAAAAATAATCACTGCTTGGCCCCCAACCAGAGAGCAAATTTCTGCTTAAAAATCTCATCTTACCAGGTAGACTCCTTTTCTGAGTATATGTTGCTCAGATGTTTTAACCAGGCACAACAAACCATTTCATTTGTACTTTATCACGTGCATGAGACTACATTCAAATGAAAACATTCGCTTTGCCTCACAGTGATCAAGTCTTCTGGGTTTCTTAATGCTCTTGAATTGGTTTTTGCCATCTTCAGCAGTAGAAAACCCCACATCTACTTGCCTAGTTGGGCAAGTCAGAAAAAATGGAACTTTGGCTTTCCTGAGCATTGCCACTAGCAGACCATGACCATGTCTGCATTTTTATTGCTCCACTGAGCTCAGTGAATTGACAAATATGAAATATTTTTACCACCTGAGTTTCAGCATCTGGAACTGTAAACACATGAGCATCCAAGAACACCGTGGTTTCAGCAAGCACAGCCACATGTACAAACCCCAAACACAGTGTTCCCTCCTGCCAGCTCTCAGCCCACTTGAATTTCTCATCTTGTCTCTTTGGAGATGGACTAAAGTCATGGCTCTGCCCTACCACCACACCACTGTGCCTTGGGCAGGAGGGACACCTGAGGTCACAGGCAGTGAGTGGACCTGCTCTTTGTTCTGTCCTTGCAGCTCAAGTAAAAGAAAAACAGGATAAATTAACTATTAGCCTAAGGTAATGTTGTGCACTCAACTATTTTGAGACGGAACAAGCAGCAGTGTCCTTGCTCTCGAGCACAGGTGACCAAAGCTTCCTCTGAACCTCTATCAAGGTGAACATTTTCTCTTCCTATATCATCAGCCTCTCTCAAAGCGTTGCAGTGTTAAAAACTTCAGTAAATTATGATAAGGGCCCATATCAACATAATCTGCATTAACATCTCTGCTTCAGACAATACAAAGAAATGGTGCCAATTAAAACAAATAACAGCACAATCTGGACCCCTTGGTGCTAGAATAGGAAGCACAGTGCCCAATACCAAAACGCATACCAGGCACACAATATAAAGTGATTCATCTGATGGTACAAATGGAAGAGATTCCACACATTATGCCTACTTGAGCATTATTAAGGAGGGAGCTGCAGGTACAGCTACAGGATTACCAGGCAATGTTCCAGGCTGGAAGGCTGTAAAATGGGGCAGTGATACAGCTAAAATCCAAAGGCTAGAGGCTGTGCTGTACTGCAGTACTCAAGTCAGCAATTCAGAACCTTCCAGAAGCCTGACTGCAAGAAAGCAACAGCTTTAAATGAACATCACACTGTAAGAACAGAAGTGGACATCAAAATGGAGAAGAAAAATCTTTACTCATTTCTGTTTAATGAAGACAATTCTTAGAATTTATTTTTTAGGTGTGACTTGGAGATAACTTGAGTCCTCCTCCCACATATGGTTGGGCTGAAATTACATCTTTGTGCAGGTGTCTCTAGAGCTACCAAGCCTATTACCATTTGTGATAGAAATATTTTGATTATAGTAGATGACACTGATAATTTTCTCTCCTAGCTGAGACCAAAAAAACAAAAAAAAAACCTTGCTGCTCAAGCCCATAAGGTGCAAGCAGCTAGATGTGCATAATAGTGAGAGTTTAAATCTTGGAATTCATCTATACCTAAGTGAAATGCATTGGAGAACAGGTGGCTCAGGAATGTGACTTCCATATTAATGCATCTTTCTAGAAAAATGGTACTGTTGCATCAAACCAAAGTTGAATTGTTCTTTTTCTAGTACATCTAAAAATAATTGTTGTAACAGAGCAGGCCGTAAGTGCAAATTATTCACAGAGTTAACAAGCAAAAAGAAAAACTTGCTGCCTGTTGTATAGAAATCATTGCATAAGTAACTGCCCTTTAGCAATGCTCCACACCTGAAACCGTTCAGCACAGAACAGAGGCTCTCAACAACTGTCAGCAGAGGTTTTCTTCTGCATCTACATCTCTGCATCTACTGGTTCGTTGAACACTGTCATTTTCAAAATAACAGGTAACAGTAATAGTACATAAATTGTTATGAAAAGACAACTACATGATAAAAAGAATGTTCAAACCCATGGAAAGCAGTATCTTGCTATTTACAGAGTAGTGCAGTATTATAAACACAGATTATATGACACTGTTCTACACCTACAGAATAAGAACTGTTCAGAAACAGTTTAGCATGACAATCAACATTACAAAGTCTGAATACAAACGAGGAAATCAAAGGAAAGGAGACTATTTTTTCAAATTGCTTCTCTAATTAAGTGCTCCTGTAACTTTTGATATTTTCATTTACAATGATGGCACAAGCTATATACACTGTTAGTCTATAATACCAGTTACCGGGCAATTACCATTGCAATCAACAAACCTTGTTCACAGGTACTGAAACTGCCTTTTCAAAGTAAAACTTGGTGAGCATAAACAGAAGAAACGTGGAAAAGGATTAATTTATTGGATTCATTTGTCTTGTATTACCAAGGGACTTTCTTTTAAGGGCAATGTGAATGTACATGCTCAGGGACTGAGTTCCTGATTACATCACTGATATGCAGAGATTTGTATTTTATCACTATTCTTAACATATACAATGTTTGTGTTTGGTATTCAGCCAGAAACTGAAACTTGTATCCTTTCCTGAGGTTACCAGTTAATGCATCCCAAAGTGCAGCTCACAGTGCTCTTTAAAAAGTCATGACCATGCTCCTGAAAATGGTGACTCCCAGTTTGGCATAGCTTCACCAAGGGTCAGAATTTCCATCTCATGAAGAAATGCTCTGGGAAAACAGATGAGGAAAGTCCAGTGGAACAAACAACATTCCAGAGACGGTGCTTGTTTTCACCCTCCTGAGCAAGCATTGAGAGCAGAGCCATGGCTGGCTCTGGGTTTAAGGGTTTTATGAGGGGTTTTTTTCTGCCCTGGCACTGACCAACTTCCCTAGTGGCTGCTGTCCTCAGAAGTCCTTTGAAAGGCAGTTCCTGAGGTTTTTGGTGATTAACAGGAAATTGGTACACAGACAGTCCTACTCATTTTCCAACTCTCAAGTGCTATTTCAGTTTTTATGAACTTTGTGCCTCAACTATACAACTGTGTACTGGAAATAAAGAGACCTGGTACAGAAATCCAGGGAGGACTTAAAAAAAATTTACTGAAAAAATGAAAGGTGCTTCCTGGGCATCAAAATTATCCAAAATATGTTATATGGGAGTCACCTCACATGGCTACATGGACAGGTCAGTCCACAGATAATTTTCTGGTGACAGGAGGGACCCTTCCAGAACTTCTTTATCTGTGTACAAGCAGCTGATACAGCAGTTTAACTGTGCTAGACTAAGTAATTGTCTGAAGAAAGGCCAAGAAATACTTGGCAGATACTCTGCTATCTCTGCAGATGAGATATCCAAAAGGCCAATTTATAAGCTGTAGGGCACAACAAAGGTCCCTACATCTATCATCAGATAATTAATAACGTGATTCAGAAAAGTGGGAGAATCCGGAGTTCAAACGTTAGTTCTTAAATAGTTTAGAGATACACAACAGTGAGCAAAGAGTGAACCCAGTAACTTTCAGCCTTCAGCCATGCTATTCAAAAAGGTAAAAACTGGGATTCAAAGTTTGCTTCACAGACAAATGCCTACATGCCACTGGCTTTCTGTGACACGTAGCCTGTACTTCTGATGGACATTTATCAACACTACGAATAAGGTCCATGGGGTTAAGGTACACAGTCATCACTGCAGTGTGTTGTAGTGGCTCACCAAACAACCAGTTTCTCCTTCAGGAAACAGCAGTCCTCAAAGATTCTTGTATTTGTCCTACCTAGCTTGTCTTGTTGGTGTTTTCTGTTTTTTTTTTTAATTCCAAACCATGCATGATCTGACATAAAATCATCTTGGTTAAGCCAAGTAATCTGCTTGTAGGAATGCTGCATATGAATTATTATTTAAGCTTTTTAAATTGTAACCATTATTCTCGGTGATTCTTTGGAATTTACTTGCCTATGTATTTTTCCCATTAGCAGAACTGGAAACACCTTGCAGATACTGCTTCTTAGAACACAGGCACTAGGGCTTGTGAAGGCACTTTCTCCAAAAAGCTTCCAAGATTTGAATTACTAATCACACATAGGGCAAACTTTGTGACCACTGGTGCAATGTGCTGTTACTGCTGTTGTATCCGAGTCCACAGCCGATACAACCGAACTCTGGTTATTGGAGAGGTTTGTAGACTTGTTTGTAAGTTAAATTAACCCTTCTTCTATAAGGCACAGGGTATAATTTTCATATGACACTTAAGCAGGGAAGGGAGTTTTCCCACTTCAGGAATCTTTAAAAAGCCAGTCTTGCAGAAGACCACTGGATTCATTCATGCCATCTTCTTCTTTTTGCAGAAAAAAAAAACCATTACAGTTTAAAGCCTTTTTCATTATATCTATGAATGGTCACACAGCCATGATATGATACTGGCCTGGGCATGGCTGCTACTCCTGTGATAATACCCGTTGCAGGGTCATAACAAAGAATAGTGTCTGTGGCTTCACCATTTTCCCGTCTTCCACCAAGGATATAGATTTTTCCATTACACACAGACATGCCACAATTCTCCTGTTTCAAAAAAACCAGAAAGGAATACAAAATTATTTAAAAAGCAAGACCGCAATTCATGCATGTCTGCCCCAGTGCAGAACAGCACTGTAACTCCCCTTTGTAAACAGCCTAGCCTGGACTATTCCCTCCTGAAAGGGCCAATGCAGAAAGAACAATAATTACGGAAAGCAGCAGCATAATCCTACAGAAAAGACTATTTCAGGTCTAAAGTCTTCACTACACAGGGGACAAGACTACAGCTCAGACAAGGGATACAATGGAATACAGCTGAACACTGGACTTACCATTCCAAGATCTGAGATAGGGAAAGGAAGAGAGAACAAAGGTTTTCAGAAGAAGGACCACAGTAGGTACTATTAATGCAAAAAAAGGGGAACAAGGAAAAGTACCTTAGAGAAGTAACAGACAATGAAGAGGGATGTAAATGAAGAAAGGAAAAAAGCCATGAGTAAAAAGAGTACATAAGAGAAGACAATGCTGTGCCTTACTTGAAACAGAGATAGGATTATATTTCTTCCTTAAAAGCAGGCATGGAAAAAATATCCAGTTAGATAGATAACACAGATCAAAATAGAGGACTAGAGGGAAGGCCAAGAAAAAGAACAAACATGTTAAAGTAATACCATAGAGTATGTGAGTGATGTTGTGCTGGTTTGAGCTGAAGTAGAGTTAACTTTCTTCACAGAGGTTAGTATGGGGCTATGTTTGGGTTTTGTGGAGAACACAGGGTTGATAATGCAGAGATGTTTTTGTTATTGCTGAGCAGAGCTCACACAGAGCCAAGGCCTTTACTATGTTCTGTACTGCCACATGGCAAGGAAGTTGGGGATGCATGGGAGACTGGGAGGAGACACAGCTGGGACAGGTGACCCAA